ATAACACCAGGTAAAGTTTGGTTTACACGGTAAATTGGTCACATTATTTTGGTTATAAGGTAAATTGGTCACATTAATTTAATTTACAAGGAACATTGGTCACATTAATTTGGTTACAAGGTAAATTGGTCACATTAATTTGGTTACAATGAACATTGGTCACATTAATTTGGTTTACAAGGTAAATTGGTCTCATTAATTTGGTTTACAAGGTAAATTGGTCACATTAATTTGGTTTACACGGTAAATTGGTCACATTAATTTGGTCACAAGGTAAATTGGTCACATTAATTTGGTTACAAAGAACATTGGTCACATTAATTTGGTTACAAAGAACATTGGTCTCATTAATTTGGTCACAAGGTAAATTGGTCACATTAATTTGGTTACAAAGAACATTGGTCACATTAATTTGGTTACAAAGAACATTGGTCACATTAATTTGGTTACAAGGTAAATTGGTCACATTAATTTGGTTACAAGGTAAATTGGTCAAATTAATTTGGTTACAAAGAACATTGGTCACATTAATTTGGTTACAAGGAACATTGGTCACATTAATTTGGTTTACACGGTAAATTGGTCACATTATTTTGGCACTATAATCCCAATTTGTAGTCTTCCTATTAATTGTAACTCATTGATCTTCTAAATTGTAACTTACTGTCGTTAATAAGCTCGTGTTATTTTGTCATATCTACTTACTTTGGTTTATGATTTCTTGTGTTTGTGACACCTTAATTTGCTTACAAGTTTGATTTATTATAACATGATCTCAGGCCCATAACTACAGGGAGGCTAAGAGTGCGGGCAGCTACACCTCCCCTAACCGGAAATTTCTGATTCGACCCAATTCCATTCTCCGAACTATCAAGTCTGGCTACGAGCCTGCATGATTTTTCGGGAAATGAGCCAATATGATTTCGTAACAAGTATATAATAGGGTACTATTGGGGAGTGACAAAATGTTGTACAATTACGATATCTTTGATAATTAGGACTTATTGATTTATTCATTGAACAGAATGAAAAAAGCTTGATCTATTTAAATCTACATATCATAACAATGCAAATACATTCTATTAAATGTCGTTTAAAAAATTGCGTAATTCTAGAGTTTCGTAATTTCATATCATCGTGCGTTGTTTATTGAATTATACTGTTGTGGCAACTAATTCTTTATATCCTCATTCATCCCTTGTGATATGAAATGGACTCGGCCTTGTTTTCATTTTTCAACTAGAGCAGACGAATTCATTTACTGAACCTTAAGAAAGTATTATAGTTCTAATATTGTGCATGAACGACTGTTCTTGTGGAACCTGAACGATAACCACGTATGATGGCTGATAGAAAGCAAAGCGCGATTGATCAGGATATCGTTTTCGGAGGTAAGCTTGCGAAAACCATAGCATTATGAACATTATGGTTGATAATCACCGATGTTTTATTTCGTATTATTGAAGTTAACAAGAATGATGATATCGTGTATACATTGTATCTCATAGCAGTATGTTGTATAATATTCAATTTTAAACAGGTAGTTTACAGGTTCTTAATTCCATGGAACTACGCTAACTCTGGCGTTCTCACTGATATGCACTACTGAATTTTGTGTGTACAAGTGTGATATATACAGCATTATTACTTCTGTTTATACATTCCTACTTCACTATTGATAATATAGAATACGGGCAGTGCGGATAGAACAGGTAAAAAATAGGAATGAGGATGAATTAAATAGTTGTTTTGAGCCTAGTCTACTGGTTTTCTTCTGTATTTGCTATTTGTTCATGTCTAGTTTTGAATGTCTGGTCTATTTAGTGTCAATATTTTTGCCAGGTTTTCTTCATCTTAAATTGGTATTAGCGAGTGAGACAGGCTACAACTTATTGCAGTGGCTTAAAGGATATTTTAGGATGTCCAGGTTGGAACTGCACTTTTCAATTTCATGTCATGAACTCTGCTTCTTTTCTCTTGTGACGTTTAAAAGAATAATTCACAAATCATTTGACCTATCATTCCTTACACCAAGAAAGAGGTATTTTTGAGGTTAGATAATCAGTTATAATGTTCACAACTCACAGTTGAAATCTTTGGTATACTTTTCAACATAATCATCTTTCCTAAAGATACACTTCTAAGCTTCACAATCTCTGACAGAAAGAACTCCTCTGGGTCACTCAAAAAAATTCATTCTCAACAGCTTTTAGTTCATTATTGTCAGCATCTGCACTTAGTGCATAATATCCTTGCGCTACATCTTGAACTTTGATTTCCTCTTCCTAATGTCAAAAACTATATCACATTTCGGTACTCAACTTTTACTCATTTATTTGACCCATTTTGACCCTAGGATGGTTTGAAGATCTCTCTGTGGATGATAATCTCAGCTGTTGGCCTGTGAATGTTTTTAAATGTAATAGAAACACAATAAACTACACTATGACTCTCTATCTCTGATGATTATTCCTTATAGTTGTCCTCAATCAGATGTAACTTTTCAGTTACAAAGTACTAAAACATTTCATGTAAGGTTAGATATGACTTCAACTTTCCAACAAAACATTAAAAACATTGTGACAATAAATTAGTCATTTCACAAGCCACAATGTTATTAAATGCTGATGTTATCTGTTTCTTGCAATAGGCTTATCACAAGTCACCTGTTTGGTTTGATTTGGTTTGTGTTTCATTTCAAACATATTCTAACAACAATGATCTTCTAACCACTCTGATTGTTGATTCATCCTTTAGTAAATCTGTCAGAACTGTTAATATAATGAAGAATGAAGGTTATTGATTTAGATTTGATTGTGTGATTTAGCACAAATCAAGTATAGGTGTTGAAATAGACCTGAACCACCTCATACTCATTCTACAGACTGTCATTTGAAAGTGTCCACACAATGTGTTGCTATGTTCCTCAGGGTTCAATTGATATTGAAATATTAGATTAGCAATGTATCAAATCAAATTTCTGTTTTGGCTAATCAAGTTAATTGTATATTAGCTTAAAGTTGCAGTATATTTCTATTTTCAAAAAATTATACAATTTGATTTGATTCGCAGATCGTTCAGATAAATTTGAACTTTGGATAATCATAGAAAATATAAAAGGGGTTGTTTTCAGTTTGCGATACATACCCCCTAACTTGAACCCTGATCTTCCTTTCTCTAAATCAGATCTGTAACGATGGTCACCACACGAATCTTTAATTTTGGTTGATACCGGACATTTGTTGTATATTGTATATTCATGATGGCCTATCAAAACTTGAGTTTAGAATTAAACATATATAGCTATAAAAAGAAATTGGGGCAAAAACTTTTGTCAACTTTTACATTATTTGTTGTAAGACATTATGGAACAAAGCTGTTATTGTTTGATTTCTGCAGTAGGCAATTCTCTATTACTTCTTTAAAGCCTCAATTTTAGGGTGGTGTCTACAGGGGCTGGGCCTTGGCAATTGAGAATTAAGCCCCAGCAATTGACCCCTCTCACAATCTATTTCAGTTCAACAGAGATTGGTCTTTTTACATTTCCTGAGTATATTCATATTATGTATTTATTCCTCAGTTCCTTTGTGTAATATTGAAAACACATAGATATAATATGAGTGTAGTAGTTAAATGTGCATTATATTTATTTAAGGAATGAATGTGGATCTTGTTATCGTTATGGGGAAATAAAGGCTGGTTTATCATGTGACAAGACAAATGATCCGCTTCGCAACAAGATCCACATTCATTCCTTATATTTACATTGGTTTATCTTTTGTGATAAAATAGCTAAAATGTTCTATTTTTTAATTGTTGTTGAAACCGTTGTTGATTAATTCACCGATATCTGTCAATCAAGTTCACCGACCCGCCCCTAACAATATAGTTCTATAAATAGACAGTCATATTTGGATGATAGAATTATCAAATATTTAATATTCCATTGAAATATTAACAACAATTGTAAATTTAAATAAATTGTAAAATTAGATTAGACTCTAGGTAAAAAAACTTGGGTCAATCCTTGTTTTCATTTTCGATGTGTTCATATGCCTTATTGTCACGTGACAAACTACAGTTATTGGAAAATAAACACCGGTTTGGCTATCTTGTTTATTGAAGGGAGTGATAGTAGAAATGTAAATATTACATCATAAATTTAGCGGCCTATTTTGGAATTTCCCATGGGAGTTTGGAATCTCGACTGAATTTTGAAGTGGTCAGAACTAATTTTTTATGAAGGTTAAGCTTCATACAAAAACAAAAAAATGCATGTTTTGATGGTAATTTTGGAGCCTAAGAATTGTCAGAAATACGTTCTCCTGGCTTCTAGTTCTTCAAAACTTCATGGCTTTCATCCATTGGTTCGAGGAGACGTGTTATGCTCGCCCACCCTCGGACACATAATCTTAGCCTCAGCATCAGCACCAATTCACTATTGTAACGGGGCTCCAACCCAAACAGATGAAGATATTTCCAGTTGAGTGTATAGATGTTCTTTTCCATCAGTAGACCTAAAGGGTTAATCAACTAACACAATGTAAATAAGTTTTATCAACTTTCAGACAATTCTACTTTAATATTTCTTGTGCATTGTCTTTGTAAAAATAATGATGTAATGAAAAATAAAGGATGTTAATAGGTTAGATATTATTGTCAGCACCTAGTATTAGATCAAAACTTATACACAAAAATAAACAGGAAAATGATAATTTAAGTACAAATTTGACTTACAAACTTTGAAAGTTTAAATTGTATTGAATGAAAATGTTTATTCTAATGATGGAGTCACACAAGCAGTGTTGGTCAGAGATTTTTGTTGCCGTTTTAAGTAAAATTTTGTGTGTGCCCATGACAAGATTATCTTATTGCTGACAGGATTTATCATATCAAAAATGTTTGATATTTGTCACTGATTGTTTTTTTGTCAGAGCCTGATCATCAACTGATCAGATTTATTTTCCTTTCAATTGCTGGTTCCGCAAGTGATTATCGACATGGTGGAAAATGACAGACTGGAATTTTTTGTCTTCTTGTGTCCTGCAGCCAGTAGGTGAAACTCTTGTTTGTGTACCCCCACCTTTATAAAATTTATCTGGGCTGATTCTTAAAAAGTGTGAATTTCCCTTTATCTTGATATATAAGTAAACATGTAGAAAGGAAGTTGAACTCTTAACCTGGATTAATTTATTTCCTATACATGTCCTAGATATCATTTTCTAGTCATTATATTTATTGTCCTGGAGTCCATCTGTCCACAATTGCCCCTAAACATCCAATTCTTTACATATTTTGACCAAACTTGGTTTATTGTCACCCAAGGATGAGCCCTACTGAAAATATTCAATATGATTTTTTTGCCCTAGTTCTTGAAACTGCTTGAAATTTTTAGCTCGTAAACACAATTCTTGACTGATATGGACTATTTTGCAAGTGCTTATTATAACCATAAAATATACCTTAAATCAAAAAGTAGAAAAAAATCGATCTAATTAATTGCCACTGTTCTTCAAAATATGTTCAATTATTGCCAAGTAAAAGCTGTGCCGAAAGATGGCCTGGAACTTTGGCCTTGTATATTTGTAATTGATCAAGTCTACATTGTTTATTGAATCTGATTGGTTGTTTATCCACTCCCATGTGGTGTAGGGCAGCATTTAACAAACATAAAGGTTCAGTGTGTATTGAGAATTCAGTTATAGGACCTAATGACCATGTAGAAAATGATACATAGAGGATCTTAAATGAGTGCTTATGTCATGAAAATTATGAAATGAGTTGCCAGATTTACTATTACCCGAGTCCTGGCAGGTGTCAAAGATTTTATTTATCACTTACCTATCAATAAATGCATATTTTCCTTAAATTCCTTGCACTTTGCCTATAAAAAGCCTTCACTTTTTACACCTAACTGCAAAATGTCCTTGAGTGTAACAAAATAGATCTTGGTAAAAACAACCATGTTTTCACTCAATTGAAATTTTTGATCAAAGTTATGTTATTTGGAACAATTTCATGCCCTTTAGCTGCTAACGTAGTCATCAAGAATCCCATGTTGTTTTGTTTACATGGTGCATGAATACATGACCTAATTTGCATAGTTATTAACCTGTGCTACGAGTTTATATCAATTTTATGAACCTGTACCTTAGAACAGAACTGTTGTGTGATAAAATGGAATTAGCTATTTCAATACTAAACAGTCCATAGTTCTTTACCATTGATTGTTACTCATCTGCCAAATGTAATTATTTTATATAAGAATTTGTAAAAATCTATTATTTGTCTACCTAACATCCCAATTTAACATAATTTCAATGCCAACACCTATTAGATAAAATGAATTTGTGGATTGCTTTTTATTCACCCACATGAATTGAGGGGTGTATAATGTTGTCACCCATGTCCGTTTTGCTGTCAGTTCACAATTGCTTGTAAACACTCTAGAAGGGACAATTCTTGACAGATTTTGACAAAACTTGGTGTGAGTGTTTATAATCATCCAAAGATGTACCCTTTTAAAACCCAGAAAATTGAAAAATATTTAGTATGAGTTATTGGCCTTGTTCTTGAAAACGCTTTAAATTTTTAGTTGAAACACTAAAACGTATAATTTTTGCTGGATTTTGATAAAACTTGTTGATATATTCACCCCAAAAAGTTAATGTAAGTTATTGTTAATGTGCTGCAAAATAATTTTATTCAAAATCAAAGCTGCCATTACCTTGCCTGGCAAGTTATCTTTTTTGTTTTGATTCAACAATTATTTATGCATTGCCTTTCTTCACTGTTAAATACAATTTTTAAGTAGTAGATATAGAACGTCTCTTTCAATTTATGTTGAAGTTTTGGTTTTAATTTTCTAAATTTTGTATTTTCAGCTAGTGAAAATGAAGAAGCTAGTGGAGGATGTGCCATCATTTTGACGATTTTGTCCTATTTCTTTGTTATTGTAACTATACCATTCTCATTATGTATTTGTATAAAGGTGGGTACAATTTTTAAACAGCTCAGTTTTGGCATCACCTATATCAAAACCTATTTAAGATACAAATTTCAAATCAAACAATTGAAGGGTAACCTAACTTGAAACTCTATGAAGATTTTTCAAATCGAAGGAACTGAATTGCTCTCTTATTACCAATTTTTCTTCAATCAATATCAGATCTTGACTTGGAAAATTGGACTTTGATGACCTTTAAATTTACTTGATGGAATTTCCTTGCCAGGAAGGTCTTTTGTTTGTATAAACCTTGTTCTTATCAGATATTGAGTTTTTGTACAATCCAATCAAACAGTCTTAGCTAAGTGTGGAGAACATTATCATTATATAACATTTCTCATTCAATTGTTTCAAAGTTGAATATTCAAAAGTAAAATAAATAAAGTGTTTGCTATCCTCATGGTTGGATGTATTAGGTCAGTAAGACTTGTAATTCTGGGGTAGATAAATGTATTTTACCTCCTGATCACTACAAATTTAAAATATCTCAAATATTTGCATGTGTAGCCTACCCACCCATGTTGATGACGATTTTTTACTGATCAACTCTCTATTATATTGGCTATGTGTGGCCCCTTCCTGATCAGACGCTAAAATTGTGATTTAAATTGATGTGATCGGGCAGAAAAATATTCTTGGATGCCCTTAGCATTAGCAAGTCATTTTGTGACTTTACTTGACTTCAGTATATTTTAACTGCTTCAGTTAGGGGGGCCATGGTGCCAAATCATGTAAAATGCATGCTCCACCTTCTTAGATTAGAAAATTTCCTGACCCCCCACTGCGACTAGTATCATCTAAAATCCTAAAGGGCAGCCAAAGTGCTCAGATGGTCCCCAGTCAATAAATACTGCTTCTGTCTAACATAAAGCTTCTCTATGATCTCTGCAGTCAGTTGAATTAATGACAGTGGGTGAGGTCAAATGTTGAGTTAGGATTGGATTAACCCCAATTAATTGACTCAACCCCCATTTCAACCTGAGATTTGACATCCCATTTTGAGTTAGTTACCCGAGGGGTTAACCCCGGGTTCAACTCGGGGTTAACATGGAAATTCGGGATTGAGGCGATTTTTGAGTTGAGTTAACCCGACCTATCGTTTTTCTCCACCAAAATTCGAGCAGAGGAATCAACATGTCAATAATAGAATTCAGCAGCAAATGATATCTGTACTCGATACAACCAGGATGAACAACTCTCGGAGCCCAAAATCAATGTGAATTCCAGTTGGTGTTAGTTAACACCGGAGTGGTTAGCTTGAAGTGCAGGTCAAATCCCGAGTTGAAATCGAGTTGAAAAAGTCAAGTGAAGGTTTCATGATGATTTTTGTGCCATTTATTCAAGTAGTCGGTGCGGAAGAGAGGGGCGAGAATCATGATCGACGTCCAGCAAGCAGTACCGAGCCCCTGAAGAAGCACAAAGTTTGCAAAATTGCGCGAAAAAACACGTGTGAAAAACGAAACTAGAAATGGGAAAATCCAGAGGTAAGTTAACCCCGAGTTAACTCAACTCAACTGGGAAAATTGAGTTAACTACAAGTTAACCGCGTCTCTGGGTTAACCCCGAATTGAGTGGTCAGGTTAACCCCGAGTTGAGTGGTCAGGTTAACCCCGAGTTAACCCTGAGTTAACTCGACTCAATGGTAACTCAACATTTGACCTCACCCACTAGTGGTCTCCATGGTTTAACAGTAACTTATAGATTCTGATTTGTTAATATAATAATATTGATAATGATGATCTGTTAAAATCAGACTGAAACCACTGAATTTTTCAGAAGTCTGTTAGTACTTCAAAAAAAGTACCATATTGGCTTTAAGATAAATATTTATTGCTGACTACTATTGAAACCAGACAGACAATTTCATAATGATAAATATTTCCTTAGCAACCAGAAATAGATCTGTTCAATCTCTACTAGCTAGCTATTTATAAATACTAAGATTATCTATAACTTCTCGCACCTATTTTAAATTTAGATTGTAGATTAATTTACAACATCAACAAAAAAAGTTACTTTGAATTTTGAAGATGGATTCCTACCTCTGAAATGATTTGAAAAATAATGTACATTGTAGATAATTTGAATAGGTGTCTAAAAAGCCAGGAATAAACAAATTTTAATAGAAATGTTGATTTTTTTGTTTTGAACAGAAGAACAATGTAATAATAAGAATTCCAAAATAAAGCTATGGATTTTCAAACTAACTCCTGTAAACTTAAATACTACCTACTAGAATGGACATGAAATTAAAAATCTTAAAGTTATTCAATAAGAGTATATGGGACTTACCTGTTGCCATAACTAAAGAATAGAATTTCTATGTAAGACGATATATCTAAATCTAATCTTATAGATTATATAATTGTAAGTCCACTGATGAACAAAAACTAATTTCGGCTAAGTTTTAAAATTTCAATTTTGTAGTCATTCTTAGAGGTAGTATATCTTTAAAGGGACAATCTGATGTACATGTAGGTAGGAAAACTAATTCAAATTATACACCAAAATTCTAAAGACATGTGTTTCTTACCTTATCTTGTAGATTAAAAAAATCTAAAACATATACATTTAAGCACTTTAGACTCACTATGTTTTTTGGTTGTTGATGGAAAACAAACTGTCCCTTTAAACCATTGATATTTTATGACTTTGCTTTTTGCATCCTGGGCTTATTACAACTACATCAAGTACCATTTCACCAAATGGTTTTAGAAAATACCCCAGTTAAGGGAATGCTGTACACTAATGTTGCTGAAAGTATAAGAAATGTATATTAATATTACAGGTTGTTCAAGAATATGAAAGAGCTGTTATATTTAGACTAGGACGACTAGTCTCAGGAGGGGCCAAGGGACCAGGTATGATTTAGTTGATTATGACTATTTAATTTGAGGTCTACTAAAATTACCGATGTACAACTGGCATCGTATTCATGAAACGATCTTAGTGCTAGGATATCGCAGGGGCTTTTTAACTTTAAGATATCCTAGGGCTAGGATTGTTTCAAGAATATGTGGCCTGATGTTGTGTATCTCTATCAGAGTTTACATAACTAATTATAAACATGTTTATTGAATATTGTCAGGTTGTTGTCAGATTTTTTGATATATTACTAGTTACTATTATGTGGATGTGACAAAGCGCCATTTTTTTTAAAGATGATTTACTGTCAATCTTTTCTTTTATTGAATAATCCACAAAATTAGACTCATGTCTGCATTCTTGATGATGTCAGAATTTGGCATTGATCTTTGAAATCTTTGAAGTCATATTTCACCTTGTGATATACACATTTTTTCTATTCACCTATATTTCAGGTATATTTTTTGTATTGCCATGTATTGAACAATATACAAAATGTGATTTAAGAACTATATCTTTTGATATTCCACCACAAGAGGTAAGTTACCTTTCTTTTTTCACTTATATCCCTTGTTCAATCTGCTTTCATTACACATATCAAGTCTGGCAGCCATCAGAAACCTGGCCAGGATTTTGGGCCTCACCTCGAGGAGACACATAATTTTTAGCCCCTTCCTCAGGAGTTTTCTAGATAAGCCCCTGTATAGCACAATTCAAGTTGAGAAATGAGTGGATTTGTTGATAAGATTGAAAGAAAAAGATACTTCTTGAGTATTGTTTTAAAAGTGATACATTTGTCTCCACTAGGCTACACCCTCGTGGTATACAAGTTTCCATAAGTTTGAATATTGGGATTAGCATCTATAGCTTTCTATATTGACAATATCAAACATTAGAAAATATAGTATGGAAATTTAACAGATTTTCTAAGATTCTGTTAGTGGCTGAGTTGAATTCCCAGAGTGCTTTATTAGTGAGTTGCTAGGCTGTCTTTTGTCATTTCCTGTATGGATGTGAGATGTGATTATTATATCTTAACAAGTTGCTAGCATACATATCTCTTGAGACTTCTACATTTTTACAATCAGTTTGCTACAATGGTGATTAAAATTAGTATTTAAAGAATATTGTTTTCTAAATGACAAAAATCTACACAAGTCAAACAATTCTGTCCAAAGTATGGCAAAAAGAGTTCAAGTTGTTTAATAGTCGACTCCTCCATAGAGAAGTACCATCAGGTGTTTCAGAAAGAGAGAGCATGGTGAACACTACTATGTAAGTCAACATCATGAGATACATTCAGATCAATTTATGGTCGACAAAAGCTGATAAAGCTGCATAATAGGTATCTATGCTGGTTTTGAGGCGTTTTTAATGTCCTTTGATATTGAAGGCTCTGGCACTGTCCAGAACACCTAATGCTATTCAGAAAGTGGATTTGTTAACTCTGTTTTCCTTTTGGTGAGTCTACAGAGATGGAAATGAATAATTGTTATTTATTTCCATTGCTCTTAAATTAAATGAGAAAGTAAAAATTTTGCAGGAAATTTCCAATGTTGATCGGAAAGTAAATACTACTAAAGTGATATCTAGATAATATTGACTAATATAGCACCCATTAACCAGTATAAAATATTATGTAAATATCCATTATTTACTCTATTTCATTGTTCCTGCTGGATTCTGTTTATACTCATTATTGAATTCAATCATTAAATTTCATGAGAGGCAGCTTAGGCCAAGCAGTATAATTTACTGATTTGCGTTAAAGGGACTGTAAAGAGGTTTTTATACACCCACATAAAATGGGGGGTGTATATTGCCGTCACCTCTTTCCGTCGGTCCGTCCTTCCGTCCACAATTGCTCGTAAACACTCTACAAGGCACAATTCTTGACTGGTTTCAACGAAACTTGGTATGGTCGTTTGTAATCACCCAAGGATGAACCCTATTGAAAATCAGGCGAATCGAAAAATATTTACTATGAGTTATTGCCCTTGTTCTTGAAACGCTCTTAATTGATGAAATTTGGTATGAGTGTTCGTTATCACCCAAGGCTAAACCCTATCGAATAATCAGAAAATTGAAAAATTTTTAGTATGAGTTATTGCCCTTGCTCTTGAAAACGCGTTCAATTTTAGCTTTAAACACTCTAGAAGGCATAATTCTTGATGAATTTTGACGAAACTTGGTGTGAGTGTTGGTTATCACCCATGGATAAACCTTTTTGTAAAACAGAGAAATTGAAAATTATTTAGTATGAGTTATTGCCCTTGTTCTTAAAAACGCGTTAAAATTTTAGCTTCTAAACACTCTAGAAGGGAAAATTCTTGACAGATTTTGACGAAACTTGGTTATATTATTCAGTACTGAGCTGAAGATTGAATATTTGTCTTTTAGAGTTCCACAAGCTAAAAATTGAACACATTTTCAAGAACAAGGGCAATAACTCATACTCAATATTATTCAGTATCGCCCTAAAGAGTTCAGAAGAAATGTATTACTGAAGGTTGAATATTTCATACTGGTAATTGTTACTGTACTGCTAAATATTTATGTTAAAAATCAAAGCTGCCAGTGGGCGTATATTACCTTGCCTGGCAAGCTGCTATCTTTTAAATTTTTATGTGTATTGGGACACTGATAACATCAATTTGCACAATTCTAATTTTCAATCAGACAACTGTGGTTCTATTGTGTCCAAACCACACCCCAAACGCCATACTTCCTTGAGACCGTGGTAAGACAAGTGAGAAAAATGTTTTCATAGCTAATTATTGTTGAATCCAAATTGGCCCTACTGTATTGGTAGCAAAATTTCAGCCAATCAAAACAAATCACTCGTCATGACACTTTGTTTGTGAATGCTTACAAAATAAAAGCAGGGTGCCATTTCATATTCTGATGAATTTGGACAATACTGAATTGAGTAAGATTTTCGTTAAAGAATTGAAGCCAAGAGAAAATCAAACCTTACTTAATATTTACTTGAAAAGAATATGTTCTTATCTCTTCAAACGGGCGGTGGCAAAGCGATGTTGTGTTTTGTTTACATTAACTCATTTCTGTTCTACTGATCTGATTGGTCATTTCCACGCCACCAAACGAAGTGTAGCGGGCTTAGTTTAATATGGGTTAATAAGACAATATAAAGACCCATATTCATGATAAATGCTGTGGTTCCTGCAATTCCACTAGTGTTTTATGACATCACAAATCGCCAAAGTGACAAAGCATATTTTGTTCACAGACAGATTCACTAGTTTTGGAATTGATTTGGGTCTTGAACTGTATGTGAATAGAAATGTATGGAAATCAGCTCATTCCTTCGAAAATACCTCAAACTAAGAATTTTAAGGTACAATTGGTCAAACGGATGACGAATTTGACCCATTAATCTTATTTGGTCAATCCAAATAATGTGTAAAATAGTAGTGTATTATTGATTAGTCAATGATTATATAGGTTGATAAAATGGTGTATTATCAACTAGGCTATTTAAATATAATCACACAAACACTATGCTAGACTTTATAATCCACAATAAACTATAATATCAATAATCTTACACAATATCAAGCTTCAATTTATATTGAAAAATTTCATTAGCAATTTATTAGACCAAAGTTTAGTTTTAGCTAATCAAGTTCAATTTTGATTCACATTTCTTAAAAATCTATTCCAGTAGTAAAATACAATTTGATTTGATTTGAAGATCTTCATTATAATCAAAGGACATTATTGGATAGCAAAAGGGGTCATTTTGAATTGCAAATAAAACTTCATACAAAGGTAGGCCTATTGGGTTCAGCTTTAACAGTGTTTTAGGTTTGTAGATACATTGCTCTCAGCTTTGACAGAATTCAAATTTGTAGATACATTGCTCTCAGCTTTGACAGAATTCAAATTTGTAGATACACTGTAAAAAAAATTTCCTTCGATTAACAGAAAAAATTCCGGCAGCTGATTTACCAGAATTTAAATTTTGCCTTCAGTTATATAACAGAATTTCTTGTAAAATATTTGCTTTAAATAACAGAAATATTTTACTACAAAATCTGTTAAATTACAGAATGACTAATAATATTTCCTGTAATTAACAGAAAATAGGAAGGATATTCTGGTAAATCTGCTGCCGGAATTTTTCTAATATTTCCTGTAATTTAACAGAAAAATAGGAAGAATATTCTGGTAAATCTGCTGCCGGAATTTTTCCTTCAAGTTCTGTAAAAAAACAGAATTTTAAAAAGGATATTCTGGTAATAAATCTGTTGCCAGAAATCATTTTCATTTTACTGTAAAATAACAAAACATTTCAACTTTATGTGTTTATTGGTATTATTTGTGCAATGAACATAATCAGAGAAAATGATGTTAACTACACCTTTAATTATACAACTGAAAATGTGGGCGTATAAAAACAATCTCTTGCATAAAAACAAATGATGAACTTGAAATACATACTCATCACTAATGACATCTTTAACACATCTTTTAATGACATTCTCATAACTAATGACATCTTCATAACGTTCTGATTTAACTAATTTGGATTTAACTAATGTCTTTTTTTATTTATGTTGACACTCTTTTCTCCACATTGCCCATATTTTATTAATATTGACAGAACTTCAAGGACCTGTGGTCCACTTCACTTTTTTTAGTGTTCCACATGGTTATAAGACTCCATCATCCAGCACAATACTGTTTATGATGCAACTCTAATCATTATTATAAGGCCTAATTGTTTTTGATGTGCACAGTTAATTGTTGCTCGTTCAAAAGTCAGGTCAAGTCTCATAATGCTCCGTAACTTTTAGCTGGTAAATAATGGCAGAAACTCTAAAGAAAGGGAAAAGGTGACATACCTGAAAAGATAAATTTAAAATGAGAAGAAATTTGTTGTGCTAATGTACTGTAGTAGTGTAGTAATAGTAGGGCACTGGATCTTTTAGTTCGAGAAATCCAGAGTCCAATTTGCCCTCGTTTACAAATTTTGTAATGCCTCGCCTACGTGGTGGGTCCTAACATTGAGTGTAAACGGTTAAGGTTTATTGACAAGAATATTAATGACAAAATTCTCATTCCTTGTATTCTTGTACTCTGGTGCAATCATAACCATAAAAGGCTGAAAAAGCGAGGATGTACAAAAACAGAAAAAGAAATTATAAATTAAAAATAATAAAATAGTAAAGGCATAAGAAAGTGGATGGAACTTAAGAGCATGATGCAATGACACACTTATGTATAGCAGTCATGGGTGGCCGTACAAAATAATTTCTTAACAGCAGGTTGCACAGTTTGACATCAATAAGACATTGCATATGTTATTAATAGTAGGTACAAACATTTTATATAGTGTCACATGTACAAAGTTGGTGGGAAAACTGACTTGAGGGATCTATGCATAATTTGGCGCCATTTTGTCGGGTTTGTTTACATTTTGGTAAAAGTTTTCAGACAGCATGAACAAATATAAAATTGCAATAGAAATTATGGATCCTGTGATATTTCATATCGTTGGAGGTTTTCTTATGTAATCGGGTATAAACTTACATTGCGGTTGGCTAAACCTGAAGAATTAGAGAAATGAATTTGAGGACTTCATTGCCATAAAAACATTATTAATTTTTCTACTCTCTTAGACTGAAGAGTTCTAAACAGAAAGATGACTCTTGACAAGACTGATCTAAGTTTCAGACCACAAATACCACACATGTATAAAGTGATAAAATGGTAACATTACAAATTTATTTAGGCAATAATTGAAATACACTCACCTGTGAATTTGTATTCAGTGATCATTTCCACTCTACCCAAGACCAAGTAAGCTAAGCCTAGTCTAGTTCATCATGTAGGATAAATTTAAGTCATTTTGTCGTTGTCCCCACACGCTTAAAATTTAGTAAAACATTTTGCAGTTTTTTACAAAGGGTGATAATAGAACAGGAATGAGTGATGGAATATCGGGTCAGCATTCCAAGTTCTCCATGCATCTCACCATATTAAATTTAATTTAAGAAATTCACAAAAATCTCTTCGACGTAGCCTTGTTTTGATGTGGGATAAGATGGCGGCGTGACGATAAACTGACCTCGTGTCTTTACCGATGACGTTATACCTACTTTGATTAACAGGTCGAAACTATCATAACGCAAAATCACAGTTTCCGTAAATTAACAGCAATCCTGTTATAATTTTCCGTAAGGAAACATAAAGTTCCTGTCAAAAAAACAGTATGACCACGCATGCGCAGACTTCGCTTATCTACAGACAAGTTTGGAAAAAAATGATAATAACACAGATTTATTGAAATTTACTGACAAATAACGTAATTGTTCTTAAATGACATACGACCAAGATTAATTTACGTAAAATAACATATTTCCTTATTGCGGAACTAACATTCTGTTAATGTAAGAACAAAGTCCGTAAATCAACAGAAAAGTATGTATATCAGCAGAAATTTACGTATATCAACAGAAAATATCAAGTAAATTTCTGTAAAAAAAACGGACTTTTTTTACAGTATACATTGTTCTCAGTTTGACAGAATTCAAATTTGTAGATACATTGCTCTCAGTTTGACAGAATTCAAAGTTTGTAGATACAATTGAGCTCAGTTTGACAGAATTCAAACTTGAGGAACTTTTTGACGAAGTTCAAAATTGTAGATACATTTGGATCACTAGCAATTTAATATATTTTTATGAAATGTTATCAAGTAAAGAGCACGATTTGTGATTGTTAAAATCCAGGTTAACGTGCAGTAACATGATTTTCCAGGATTTACTGCAATGACAGGCTAATGGACATTTATTAACAAAAATAAACAACATGAAATATAGTGCAGTGCCTCTGAGACCTGAAATTACACCTGAAAGGTTTAGACATCAAAAGGAATTTAATGTGAGCCTGTAAAAGCTTTTTAAAATAATATAGCTCATATTTATGAATAAATAAATAATGATATAACAAATAACAACTAGCTGTGTAATGAAAATTGATTTTTGATATCAACACTGACTGTTATCTATTATAGTATGTTTAAAGATGCAGTACAACTGTAGTTTCAAGAACCCAGTTATCTGAATAGAAATTAGTCTTTTAGGGAAACTACATCTTAGAATAAACATAAAATTTTAAACTTGGCCAATAAGAGCATATATTCATCAGTAGATATACCTGGTGTCATAAATAACATAACAGTATCCTTATATAATCCGATACATCCAAAAAACGTCATAAAAATGCAATTAACTATTGAAAAACGCTTAATATTATGAGGTACGATTCGTTGAACAGATGGTAGCATTAGAATATGTTTTACTCTAAATATATTTATGTAATAAAACTAAAAACTCAAATCGACTATTGTTTTTTTTGATATGATAAGCTATAGGTTTTGGATGTAGTGTATTTCTCTTTTCAGTCTTAAAAATTAAATTGACATCAATTTCATGGCAAATGAAAGTTTATTTAGTGTGTCCATCTTGGTGTTTATCGCTAGTGAAAGCTTTCACAGAACAGCTAGACATACAACCTTCTATTTCATACAAAAATTCTTTCATTGCCAATAATTGATTGACACCACAGATTCAGTGGGGATTAGAAATAGAAATACACAAAAACATGTCAATTGTGGCAAATTCTAAACTGGTGATGGAGATTATTTGATGGGGATAATATACTTATTAGGTTCTTATTGTAACACTTTCATTCACATTGAATTTAAAATGAAGCACAAAAGGGGATCATTTGAGTCGACC